GGGGGGGGGGGAGGTGGCGCGCGCGGACCAACGGATCAATTCGCGCTCGGGAGCTACAGGGAGAAAAGCAACAGTCTGTCAGCCCCTTTCTACCCGGACAAGTGCTCGCTACGGTACGCTATCTCGCTCCCGTTCGCTGAGAATGACGACAGACTCTCGTCGCGACGACGGCGTGTAGGTGAAACCCGCGGCACGATATCGAGTTGTATTCTCGGGAAGATTGCGAGATTCTCCCCCAGAGAGAGAGGAGAGTCTTTTCCTGGGGAAAAGAGTCAAGCCGCACGCGGTGCGGCGCGTTAATTCCCCTCGGCGGCGGACCAGCGATCCGTGAGAGAAATCCTACGCGAACTATACGCGTATCAGTCGCGTAGACGGAGTGTCGGCGTCGTTAACGCGCCGGAATTACACCGTAGATCTCCGGCACGAGTCGTAGTTAATGACAGCGGTGACGGCGGCTCCGCAGCCAGCTGTAAAAGCGAGCGAGTTACGTGGAGAGTTACGCTTCCCCGGTCGTTTCTCACGAACGAGACGATGCGAGATTGCGGTGCACGTACAGTTCGATCCGCGGAATGAACAATCGGCCGGACAAGAAGGCCTCGTCATGCTCCTCCTCTCCGTCTCATCATTCGTTGCTCATCCGACGATTTTACCTCAGTCACCGTCGTCGTCGTCGTCGTCGTCGTCGTCGTCGTCGCTGCATCGTGAGACATTGAAAACTGGACTCGCGTCGAAACCCGCAATCTGGGGCCGTATATTCGAACGCCGAGTACACCCTTTTCAGCTCCGTTTTTCTTACGTGCCGTGCAGGGGTGTTCTCAGCTTGAGAATCTGAAAGAGACGTGCTTTTGCGTTCGAATGCAGCGTTCAAGAACACGACTCCTGAGCGGTGCTCATGACGATGGTTTAGGTCAGAGGGTGGGCCGCAGGGGATGACCGCGAGAAGGTCCTTTTGGGACGTCGTGGGACGACGTTACCGTTATCCGGCGCGCACTTGAGGTGACTTGAGCGGAAAAGCGCAAGCCGCCCCGTTGGCGGAATAGAATTTGACCTGATTTCCAATGAATACGCCTTTATATACGCGGCACCGTCGCCAGGAGTCTGAGAGAGATGAGGCCGCGCGGTGCGCGATTGTTGGGGGTGTCGTTTGTTCGCAGTCCGCGAGTCAATAGGCGCGAGGGACGTTTCGGTATCGGTTTTCTGGCTATCTCTCGCGCTTTGGAACTCCTCCCCCTCCTTCTCCTCCTCCTCCTCCTCACGACCGCTCCTCCTAGCATCCGCTATCTCGCGGTGTGCACGCGCCGCCGTAGCTTGCTGTGCACCTTACCGCGCGACGCGCCAGTAAACTACTTCGCACGCTACTTTTTATTATCCCCTCCCGCCTCCCCCCGTTCCCGTACGACCAAGCGCTATCGAGCGACGAAAACGTATATACCCGCACACGTTTCTCGTTGCGCTAATGTGTCCCGAGGTAGGGGGAGGAAGAGAGGCAGAGAGCGAGAGGGAGGGAAAGAAAGGAGCTCGGGTAGAGTTTGTCCTGGCTCCAGCGCTAAATTAGTGCGGCAACGAAATTCGCGTCGCAAATAACGAAAGCATGCTACACGATGATGCTGACGTCGACGACGTCCCCGCTCGCCGTCGAGGACGACTCTAATCGGGCGCGACGATTGTGTGCTTGCAGACGAGTGTCCGAACAGCGGCGAGGACAGCGAGGAGGATGTAATAACCGATTATCTCGGCTCATCGCACTCCGACTGCGATCGCGTGCCTATCATTAATGGGGATCTGCGCGGCCTGAGTCTGCACGGCGGCGGCATCGTCACGGAGACCGGTTACACCAAAGACAATACCGTGAAAACGACGATCAGCATGTCGGCGGTCGGTATGGGTGGCGACGAACAACACCAGCAGCAGCAACAGCAGCAGCACCACCACCACCAGCAGCAACACCATCACCACCACCACCACCACCACCAGCAGCAGCATCATCAACAGCAGCATCCGTTGCTTACACTTGGCACTAATATACAAGCCCAGCCTAATCCTCTGGTGCCCATCATTAGCGTTACGCCGCACTCGCCCGGTCTGGCCAAGAACTATCCGGTGCTAGGTAAAATCTGTTCTTTGGGATTTCTCAGATAAAGCGGAGACCTGACGCGTCGAATTGTAGTCTTGGTGTATTCGGAAACTCACACTGGGGATTCGAGCCGGGAATGGAATTGATAATCAGTTTGATTATTATTTTTTTAACTCAACCAAAAAGCTGTACACCCAGCTGAAATTTTATGGTCTTGTAGAACCGGAATCGGAACTGTATCGTCCAAGTATTGTCGTTATGCGGCTTTTTTCGGTTCCTTATTCTTTATCCAAATGATACAGTATATTCTGGGAGAAAAAATATCTAATAAATAAAAAGTACTCGGGCGGATACTAATAACATTTTTACTTCAATCCAAATTCTTTTTTGAATAAATATATTGACAATAATAAGTCTCACTCGAATACTCCATGAGGTTGATATAGCCTATATATTCTACAGTACTCAGAAAGTTGCGTTTGACTCTGAAAGATCCAATACTTCTTATTTTTTTACTTTATCATTTTTTTTATTCCAAACGCTATATTTTTTTTTATATCGCATAAATAATCGCTTTTATGAGAAACTAGAATTTTAAGAAAATGTATTCTCTTTTTGTTTGAATAATATTTTATATTACAAGTATGTTATTAGTACCCGCCCGAATACTTTTTATTTATTAGATATTTTTCACACTCACACCGAATATTTTTCATTCATTAGATAATTTTTCTCCCAGTATTATATTATTCTTGAATAAAAATTATTATTATTTGAATAAAGAGTAAAGAATTGAAAAAGCCATATAACTTGTGCTTCGTTTCTTACATTTTTTTTCTCTCAATGTAGTCTATACATTGTAATAATATTTGCGTTAGTTGTATCAGTAGGTTATACACAAAGTTTGAGGTAGAGGCGTATGATGGACGTTCGCTTTGCTTTCTCGCAGAGGAAAATCTACAGCAGCTGCATAAGATCCATGACTCCATCCAGCGTATGCGGGACTTGACGTTGAGCACTCTGGGATCCAACAACGACGCCGCGCTACGGTTGAGCTCCTCATGCCCGACCTTGTGCCCGCTGACCGCGGCCGAGCTCGCGCCACGTCCCGGCAATCATCATGACACCGGCTCCGACCCGGACTTCCTCGCCAATTGCTCCACGAACAGCTCCCCGACGCACTTCCCGGGTTCAGCCGGCCATTCTCGTTCGCAGCGGGCACAGACAGGTATAGACAGAAGACGCAGTTGGACCGGGGACTTGGAGGATCTGGAGGAGAGCCGACGCGGCGGCCGTCGCCGGTACTCCGGGCAGAATCATCTGCAGGCCCAGAACATGGTTAATATTGCCTGTTACTTGTTGGAACCGGAGGTTGGAGCCGGTTCGATTTCGGTGAGTTCACGCTTCGATGCCGCGGATCTTGATGCTACAGAAGGATACGCCGTCGCCACCTCGTCACGCTTAGCATCGCGAGTAAATGTCAGAAACGAATTGCCGTGTGCGTCCGAGTCAGCATCGAGATCTGAACTCATCGAGATTGCATCGGCTTGAACGGCCGTTGTCACAAAAACACACTCTATATTCGCTTGTTGACGGCGATGGCATGGCTCTCTCTGAGATAGCTTCGTTGTTGTCTTTATACGCATTTGCACTTCGCCGAGGCGGTCATTAATGTCGCCTTCACGCAATCACAACGTACCCGTTTACTCCGTTTCAGCGACAACGCAGCATTAGTTTAAGTAGCCTAGACAGCGAGAACGAGCTAGAATTAGATGGAAAATCGTGCACCGGACCTGTAACCGTAGGCAATCGGGCATGCAGGTCGCAGACGAGCACTCACTCTCTGAACGAGGCTGATCTTGTACAGGTAATTTCTCACGAGATACCTCCTCCTCCTATTCCTCCTCGGAGAGGATCCCGTAGTTTACGATACGTTGACGGGGACAAGCAACTACATGGCAAATTTTTCTTTGACAGAGCGAATATCAGAAGATAGTCGCAAAGAGGGGTAATCAGAGATTAGCAGAAAGTAGCAGTTTAATGCCAGGGCTGACTGGTTCGCGTTTACCTCTTCAGAAATCCATATCGACGCCTTCGATCGTTACGCCGCAGGTTCACGCGCATTTAGGCGAAGCTGGAACTCGAACGACGCCTTCACTCGCAGCGTAAGTCCGTTATTACAGATCACTGCTCGCAAAAAGATCGCAAAGCCAGATCGGCGGAAATCAAAAGGCAAAAGGGATCATCTCTTGCGAAACCTGTACGCTGCTTCGTTTGATTCGAGAAAGAAAAAGAGAGAGAGAGAGAGGGTTTGTTGATCTCAAAGTGAAAACGTTCCAGAACAGTTCGTTAATAGAAATAATCGTAATCTAGCTTGCGATCTTGTGACAAACTTTCGCACCAAAAGCTATGCACACATCTTGTGCGTGCACGTCCATGTGTGCGCAAGCACCCATGTATGTGCATCTTCACGCGTATATTTATATCTTGTCGATTTTTCAACTTTTGGCACACTAGAGTAGAAACTCATCTCTCGGAAATGAGCGCAAACGTATCCATGCATGAACATTTTTTTACGATTAGTAGAATGAATCTCAAAGACGTCTACATTCACGAATGCCTGAAACATTTTGCATTATGTAGCATTTTTTTTTTTTCTTTGAGAATCGACTGCTCGCGAATTGTTGTAATGTAAGCTGCACTGAACAAACGCGCGTGAGAGACTCATGTATCACGTTATAACTCGTGGTAGCGATATTCGATATAAATTTGATACGTGTTCGGTCTGAGGCATAATTTTGTTCACGTTATTAGTTATCGATATGGCAGATACAATTAATATTTTACAATTTTCCCCTCTTACACGAAACGGGAATAGCCGCAACATCAGTAATAATAATAGTGCGTATCCATTATTGATTTGATAGTATTGATTTGTATGGCTCATATTCTATCGATCACTTTTGCCGATCGTGTAACTACTTTGCTAAGCGCGAGCAGTTTATTACGTCAAATATACATATCTATATGTGTTCTTTTGTAATATAGTGTCGGATCATTTTTGACAATATCTATAATTGCAATATTCATTACACGATAGTTGCTTAGTTTGTGTTTGTACTTGAAAATTTGCTACGATCCTGCATGAAACAGCCGTCATGAAAGAAACGAAAAGGGTAGTGGGAGTGAGACAGAAACCGAAGATCTTCATACACCACACAGCCACGAATTCCACGAAGACCGAGAGGGCACTCCGAGTGCCCAGACGATATCTCTTGACGAGCTTTTGACCGAGTGAGTACTTTCGACGCCTTAAATCCTTCATACTATATCGAATTATATACATGATACTGCGGAATATCTTTTACGTCTCTATGATGGACACGGTTTGTACCAGTTTTTGCCGGTCGGTCAATCGATCGATTGATTTTGTAGCCACAAATAGCCTGTAGCTTATACTACAACTGCAAAAGCAGACGCAGAGAGTCGGATTAACACACAATCGCTTTGAGATAACACGTATCTCCGTTTTAAGTATCAATCAAGAAACGCATAATATGCGGGCGATTTGATGACCATTTAAGACTCGTTAAGCAGGGAATATCATCGGGTATTATAAACGCCAGCGTGTACAAAAAAGAAATGCCAAGATATGTCACTTTGTCTATGCATGCTTATACATTTTCTCTCTTTTTTTTTTAATGCGTAGCATTGACTGCACATATTTACGATTATTACACACGTTTTTATCTCTTATGATAAGCTGTTGATAGATCGAAACGCTTCCATAATTGCACCGCTCTGATCATTTACAAAATACAACTCCAAATGCCCGCATTAAAAGTCGAGCAATGTTAACATGAAAATTCTCCGTTTTCAGTGGCACTGCGTACGATGATCATCATTCCGAGAAGACCAGAAGAAAGCGTGGCTCCATCTTCTTTCGCAAGAAGAAGGTAAAATAGCAACTGGCGTCGCAATTATACGATATCCGATTTAAGATGTTTCTCTGGTGGATCATGACGGAATCTTTATTTTAGGATAAAAGCGGCAAAAAGACTAGTCAGCAGCAACATCTGTGGGTAACGATGACTGTAGGGACTCAGGGAAGTTTACTGTGTGATGTTTGTATGAAACACTCGACGAATAAACCGCTCCTTCATTGCGACAGTAAGAGACAATCGCTATAATTAAGTCAAACGATTCTCGCCGATATCGCGTGACGTCACGATTAAGTCAATTTTCCAAAATCAGATTGCGGAGCGTCGGTTCATCAAAGTCAAGGCTGCAAGGATCAGTTGGTGCTGGAGTGCATCAAGTCCAAACATCACTCCGGCAAATCCGCCGCGAAATCCGCGTCGAATGCCTCCACGATGTCGAACAGCAACAGCGTGAAACGGGGCTCCACGACGTCGTTGCCCCTGCCAACGTCATCCGGAAGCGGAAGGTAATAAACCATCTTAAGCGGGTTATACATCTTTTGCATTGGATCTGCGTATCTGTGGTTCGAGATTCGCACGCAAATGGCATGGCTAGGCCTAAGCTCGGAGTTCGTGATCAACTCCTCTTACGTGTGTCAAACGAGCAATGAGTAACTTAGATCACATTCGATATGATCGACTCAATTAGGACTCGTTGTTTCACTTCACACACGCGGATAATACGTAATTTTTCACGGACAGAAAAAGAACGTCCTGTTTGCCATTCGATCGATCGGTAGACATTTCACTTGTCGCATTGACATGCACACGGAGAGTATAATGTTAATAATGAGGCGTGGGAAGCTCCGAAAAAAGAGTTTTGCATCTGCTTGTTACTCCGAGGCTTTGGCTGGCTCAGAAGCTTATTATTTCTGGTTAATTTGGCAATTTAGCAAGATCAATAGTACGGCAAGCTTTAGCGCGTTCAGCCTCGCGCCGCTACATTTTTTATTGATATAATATCGTTTACATATTATTATACGTATTACTTATACAGAATACCATGCCCAGACCTCAGCTAGCTCTCGGTTTACTGTTACACAAGTCACGGAGATAATGCTATAAGCAGCCAATACCGCCGGTACTTTCATGATGACACCATTGAGTGGTCATCATCAAGTACTTCATATAATTTCGAGAATTATTTAGTCTTTTTTTCGATCTTGATTGCGTGATCATGCCGATCAAAAGAGAGATGAAACGAGACCATACATATATATATATGTTAAATTTGAAAAAAAAAAGACTTTTGCGTGTGGGGAACGATTCGTTAAGATATATGTATCGACGCGTAAAATCATACAAAAGAAAATAGTAGCAAGGGAAATGGAGATGGAGGAAAAACAGCCAAAAAGGCGAGATGAAGTTACCCTAATGCAGTGTGTGCTTTTTCCTTCTCCCGTGCATTCCCCCTCGTGCAACCACGTCAAACTGATCGATTGTACGACGATTAAAGGGAAATTAACAGCAAGAAAACCGTGTCAAGCTACAGCCCTTGGCGGCGAGTTGCCACTAAGCTTGGAGTCAAGTAAGTCTCTGATATCTGATGTGTTCCTCCTATTCTGTCGAAAACGTTCCGTTCGTTTCTGTTCGTGTGTGAATCCTACACATCTAGTAGGAAGATGCGCGTCTCTCGTTCCTCGATTCTTTCCTCGCACACGCATTACACGCACATAAGAAGAACACAATACGCATACATTAGACACAGTATACGTACACACACATACACACGCACACGCATATGTTGTGTCCACGACCATCAACGTACGGCTATTGACTTGCCGTCCGGTTTCAAACTCGGATGAGACATCATCTAGCCCTGCCTGTGCTTCTGATCTTGTGCTTGCTTCTATAATTTGTGTCCGATTCAATTGATATAATTTGTGTTACCTCTTCGTTGTAATCTTCGCCTAAATTACAGTGCGTAAGTTCACGAGTGTTAGTCTGTAAGGTAAATCTCTCACAAATGACGAGTATATACAAATCAAACATGCACATATACGTGTATCGGTGAAATGACATAGCATACATATCTACTATAATATATATGTATATATATTACAGTGGACGTTTGTTAATGTCATTTTACCAGTTTCTCCGCCTCTTCCGCTCCTTTCATTTGTACACCTTGTGTCATCAAACGTTTTTTCACATTTCTTTGTCGTGTTATTTCCAAGTTTCTGGACTTCGTTGCTCGAAATTTTCATGTTAGGTTGGCCACGTCCATGCAGATAGTTGTTAAGTTTTCGGTCGGGCTGGGATTGTGATCAAACGGGCAGTGTTCTTCGAATAGCCCGGCAACATAATGCGTTATTGCAACGCATTCCCGATAATAGAGAGAAACTTAAGAGCGAATTGGAGGATCTGATAGGAGCGTAAAAAACTAAGTGGTTGCACTGTTTTTTTTTTTTACACATAACGCATGTCCCAGCCAACGACCTGAACTCTCGGAGTTCCTGGCTCTCGCAAATTACTGCTCTCAATTCCGCGAATGGCTTTGCTAATCAATATCGAAGAATTTTTTATCTTTTTCTTTATCTCTCCCTGAATACTAACTCTATTATGCATTGCGATGAGCAGCGTTAAAAGAAAAACCATCGTAAGAAATCGAGCTGAGGAATATATCATTTCGACGATAGACCATTAAGGGAGGGAATATATATATATATATATATATATATATATATATATATATATATACATATAT